AGACTAGACCTCACTAAAAATGAGGTCAACAATCAGCCATTATCTTCATAAGACATATTGAACCGGTTCGAAAATTTGAGAATAAATATGAAATTATGTGGAGGATCTTCCACAAATTAGATAGGAGGTTGAATATGAGCTTCTAATGGAAGGTCGTGTACCTAATGTGAACTCTGCTTCTAAAGAAAGTACTATGATGGTAAAGTTATTTGAAAAGCCTAATGAAGAAGTCACTCGTCTATTATAAATCAGAGATGAATTTAAGAATACCTGCACATTGGGTTGAAAAAAAAATTGTCAATAAGTGAGCAATCAAGCAACCTAATAAGCACAAATATCTCTTCATTGATGAAGAGATGGGCGAGCTTTCTTTGATGAAACAAAGGTTTTTTTGTCAAATAGTGAAGGGCGAAAGTCAGCAACATTTAAACTACAAATAACATTAGTAAGGAGTATTGAGTATGTGCAGTGAAGGCGTTGTTACCACTAGAAGCAGGGGGTGAGCGGTGAAAAGTGAACAAAAACGTTGGGAGTAGTCAACGAATAATGGAAGAGAATGAGCATGACGACAAATGTGATAGACTAACATGCCCAAAAACCTTGGGAGTAGTTAACGAATAATGGGAAAGAATGAGCATGACAACAAATACGAGAGACTAACATGCCCAAAAAAAAATAACGACAAGCCTTAGGTTCCTGATGGAACAAGAGCAAATGAGAAGCCCAAGCCAATAGGTATCAACGTCAAAGTAGGTGCACATTGAAAAACTAGAACTAAAATGTGCCAGAAAGAGAGCCTTGGCCCAAAGCAACAAGCGCAAGATGAAGCTCTAGGGTTACATAGAGATTGTGCATCAAATGGCACACGTCCCACTAGAAGCAGGTCCACCTGAACTAGCGCAAAGTACATGATTGCCTTACGTCGAATGAGCTCAACTGTGACATGGTTGGCTGGCCACAAGTATAACCACGCGACACTCCATACATAATGAATATGACAGAGATCAAAATTATAACATATGTCAATAGCATTTAGCATTCAGATTCCATTGCAAAATAATAGTTTTTGAGGACTTGAACAAAATTTTTTTCCGAACAATAATGCATTACCAGATAAAGGAACAAGAAAAGCATTCGTTTATTTCAAGCAATTGTAGTTCTCAGAATATTTAACAAGAACTGAACTATTTTGAAAGCCCGATCTAATAAATAGGTTGTGTTTGTGATCTTTTATGTAAAAATAAATAATAAATAAATAATTAAAAAATTTGCTCAAACCAATTCCAAAAAAGATAGACTCCTAAACAATCAACTCAGAAAAGATGAAAACCAATTGTGTGGTTCTTCAACACTTATAGTCAACTTTAAAAATAAAAAGGTTCAATTTCTATTGTCCTTCCAATAACATGATCCCAAAAATGTCATTTTGAATATAAAAAAAAAGCATATTTAAAAAATTCTAAAGCTTTTAATATACAAGTCACTAAAAAAGCTAGGATGTCCTTGTCAAATTAAATATTTTCTCCAAAAACACCCATCACCATGATCCATGTCAGAAATTAAACAATAATAAGGTAAAAGGGTAAATAACTTTCGGGTCTATAAAATTTTCATTGCCATACTATTAAGTCCATAAAGTTCAAGATTAGCTTGTAGATCCTTTAGTTTCCATAATATCTCAGACAGATCTTGATGAACTTTCCCACTAAAATTTTGATAAAAATTCAGTTCTTCCGCAACATATAAGTGAAATCCATTGTTTCTTTCCTTCCCATTTAAGAGTGCTATTAAAAAGCTGCTATTATTTCTGCTATTCTTTGCAAGCAATGGAAGGAGTTGCATTTCACCAGAAATTAATATAACCTTTCATGACTTTCACGGGAATATATCATGCGCTATATTTTGAAGAGAACCTACTAGTGATTTAGAAATAGATGACACAAAAGAAATGCCTAAAAAAAATTGCACACCGAATCGATGATATATTGGCAGTATATAGGGCTCATATAATATAAAACATCATGAGCTGTTGCACTTAGTGTAACACGAAGACTCCGAACACCATCCAATGTAATTTTATCAACAGCACTTTCACCGCTGAGTTTCAATCCTTTTCTCCACTGCAAAAGAAAGAAAAAAAAGTTAATAGAATATGCATAATGAAAAGGCAACCAGAACTCAACACATCAAATCAAAGAAAGTCAAATTAAGACTGGAAGCTAGTATTAGGCAAGAAAATCATAACCCCAAAGCACATGAACTACAAAGGCCCCTTAACTGAATCTCATTAAACTTGACTATGAGCAAAAAAACCATCTGAAAATCAGTTAACAAGAGGGAATTCCAAACTACAAAAGAGATAACCACGTACAAAATATTTACCAAATTAAGTACCAACTTGTATTTACAAAAATAATAATACATTCCAGACTATGTAGTAAAGTACTCCAATTGCCATATCACACAATATTTTGCTTGCCACCATTAGTCCATTTGTAAGGAAAATACCTTCAGTCATGTCATTGCTGAAGAAATCTACTTTAAAAAATAAATAAATAGTCTTTGATTTTGTGCTTGGATGAAATTAATTAAATTTAGTTTAAGAACTTTATTTACTAAATTCGTTTGCTAAAATAATATTCATTAAATCAAATTAAATTATTGTAAAAAAAAATGATCCTAGATCAGAGTTTGAAATATGAACTTACGTTATAAGGAAAGGATGAAATCCTTTTACGCACACAATTTTAAAAAAGGCCGTTAATGCAAGATCACTATCCAGTTTCATTGTATGGCTCATAAGCTCACTCTACAGACCCTACAGTCAGCACAGTTATAGATATCTTCTTACTTCTAAAAATTTAGTACTAAAATGCTTCTCCTATCAATTGACAGCAAACTGATGTCTCTACCTTGGACTTCTTTTATATAAACCAAAAGAATCACTAACTGAAAAAAAAAAAGACTTCTAGGAGTTCTAATTTGATTGTAACGATGAACGTATCCATTAAAGCAGAAATCTCTGTATCAAAGATGTTATTATATGCTCAGTCTAGAAGAATATGACTTTAATTAAGAATTTGTGGCATAAAAAATCTTAAATGTTCAAAATCAGGTATAATGAAGCACTATAAAGCCTACATAAATTCGCTCAACGTCTTTGTCATAAAAAATGTCTGCAACATTCAATCAAATAAAAAAAAAGGAAAAGATTAAATTCATGTTCAAATGTCATGGAAGATATTTACAGTGAAACTTCAAAGAAAAAAAAGCTACCCTTGATTACATTCAATATAAATAAACAATGCCCCAAGTTATTCACTTTCACGGCCTTATAACCATTCTTCATCATTAATGGACAGTAATACCAACTATTCCCCAAGGATCCAGAACGTAATTTATCCAATTCCTACGTATCTTTTTTAAAAAACAAAAGAATGTATAAAAAAAACATATTTGACTAACAAATGTTAATGTATAAAAAAAATATATTTGACTAACAAATGTAAGTAAGGGTGGAATACAGGACAGGCAAGTTCTATTGTTCAAGTGCAAGCTAGAATAAGTACTGAGTATATGTTAACAAAATTCCATGGAAACCTCAAAATGGAGTATTGAGAACAATTTTAGTCAAAAAGAAACTACAAAGAAGACTATAAATAAAAATAGAAGTTAGATGATCCAAACAATGCATATACTGATCTAAATAGCAAAGAGCAAAGACTATAAATAAAAGTAAATAAAATAAAAAAATTTCATTTTAAACTAAATACTATACTTTCTTTGAATTCCCCAGTCACAACTCTTTCTCAGTTTTATAATTTAAAACAGTGCATTACTTACAAACTGCAAGGATACTGTTAAATTATTGAATCGAAGGATAAGCATGGCATTACCTGACAAGGAATTAAGAGAACTCGCTGAGTGCCTCGCTGGTGTGCCGTTAAGTGCCTTTCAGCAAGACTAGCAGTTATCCTACGAAAATCACCAACATCATCAACCAAATTAGCCTTCTCCAGCCTTTGTCCAATACCATGAACCATAAATACTAGATGACCAACTGGAACCTGAGGAAAGATAAAAGGATATAAATCTATGAGTAAAATACACGCCATAGAATTTGGAAGTTGAAATTTCTCATCTGCAAATAATCGATATAGAGCATTAATGAGATAAATAGACCTATTGAGTATATTAACTACAAAAAAACTCAAAAGTTTTATATTTATTGTTTTAGAGAAAGTATTGCTGTAAATCCCAAATTTGGATGTAGAAAAGTGTAAATCCCAAATTTGGATGTAGAAAAGTGTAAATCCCAAATTTCAATATTTTACAAACTAAACAACATAAAAGATTGCCAAAGATTTCTCTACAATTTTTTTTCAGTCATCTATTTGAGATTAAAAGGCTGGTGAAAATTTAAAGTGCGTTTTAAAATTCCACAATATTTTCCAATAAAATAAGAGAAAGTAATAGGTATATAAAACATAATACAAAATGGTCAAGCAATCTAGCAATTTTCCTTGAAAGAAAACTCAATAACATGTGAAGCATTAGTTTTCAAGCAAGGGAGTAATTTAATCATCTCAAGAAAATTGCCAATCACAACAAAAATACTATCAAGGCCTCAAGAGGCTTGGGCAAGGTTGAGATGAAATTCCAGAATAAGCATTCCCAAAGCCTATAAGGGGCAGGCAATGCAGTTTATTTACTAGAATGTTGTTTAATTATTGTCATTTTGAAGATAAAATAGTGTGAAATAACTCTTCCTTGAAATATTGCATTTGCATTACTAAATCAAAAAGGTACAAAACTATGCATGTATGCATCTAAGCTACATAAAAATGTGATCTATCCTTTAGAAGTATGAAAGAGAGTTCACTATCATCATCTACATGCATCAAAACAAAAGTCTACTAAGGGCATGCTTGGCATAAAAAATGAACGGCCCTATTACATTTTTGAGGTGGCTGAAATAATTCTTTCAAAATTCAATTTTAGTAAAGGCTAAGATCAATTCTTCATCAAATTAAATGTTTTATCCTCACCAAAATGACCAGCTCTATCACCAAATTAAAGCTCAAAAACCAATAACTCCCTCAATAAAGATATAGCTATGGAAATTTGTTTCATTCAATAAAGATATTCAAAAATAATAAATAAAAGACCATTGATACAAAGAGACTTATCAAAGCAGTTATGATAAAATACTAGTTAAAATAAAGTAAAAAATAATTATCATAATTTTAGAAAATTCAAAAAATTTGATACTAAAAGAATAAGTCTATTAACTTGAGATAATGCTTTAATAGGTTTATTTTCTACCCATGTTTATGCTTTAGGACAAACAATAACATCCACTTAACATGCCTATTACTTAATTTTGATTAAGCAATAAAAAATTTCAATGCTTGATAAACAAAACCATGAATAAATTAGTGTATAGCAAGCCCAGTCCCCAACGTTTCAAAAATTAAATAATAGTATCATAAATGGAGTAATGTTCTTAACCACATTTAATGTTTCACTAGTCGCTATGAACTACACTACACCAAGACCCCCCAAAACCATAACATATGACTTCAAAAACTTTTTAAGAAAACCAACAAATCAAAGAACAGTTGATCAAGTCATCAAAATTTTAATTTGAATAAAATCCGATTCTTTTTACCTTTCAAGAAATTAGAGATAAGAGCTATATTTAGGATGAAGTTCTCAGTAAATCTTCTATAAATAAAAACATTTAATATTAAAAAAATAATTGAGGCCAATCGAATACTTTTTACTTTAGCATGACTAGTTTGCAATCCATTAAAAGGCATGACAAATCCCAAAAAAATGAGTATATTTTTGCAAAAGACAAAAGCATTTTTATATTGATGAATACATTTCCAATTTATAAGTAATCAAAACAAGACTAATGCTCAAAATGTGATCTCATGGGAACTAAAAATTAATATAGCTCAAAAACAACAACCACAAATTTGCTATATTCAATCTCAATAGGCAATACTATCCTGAAAAGGTAATTGTGATGATAGTTGATGTATGAAGTAGAATCGGATGCTAACTCGACAAGCATAGTTAACCCTTACAGTAGAAGATCATATTAAAGAATAATTAGATCACAAATAGTTTACATAAGATGATTATACACCTTAAGAGAAAACAATCAGAGACACACAAAAGGCTAATGATGAGTATTAGAAGCTCAGGGCTTATTTGGGATCACTTGTATTTTTTATTTTTGGTTTTCGTTTTTGCTATTATTTTAAAAACATGTTTGTCTAGTACATTTTTGCATGCTTTTATTTTTTATTTTAAAAAACAAATTATTTTATTTATAAAAACATTCAAAATATCTAAAAATTATTTTCAGTGACTTTAAAAATAACTAAACATGTTTCATTCTATGTAAAAACAAAAAAATAATAAAAAATAAAAAATAAAAAGTGATCCCAAATGACCCTTTTAATTAATCACATTCAAGGAGGCAAAGGAAAGAATGTCAGTATGGATGACATGATTTGATTGGACGTAATTACATATTTAGATTCTAAAAGATACCAAGGTGGTTCAGAAGATCCTTATGAAGCTCATTACTCGTGTTGTTCGATCCTCCTAGAAAAAGCCAAAATGTATAAGGATTTAAAGGCATTATTATTTGACCTGTGATGAAGAAAGATGTAGTTAAATATGTGATAAAATTTGAATCTTATGAAGGAGCGAAAATAGAACATCAAAAGCCCATGGAAATACTACAATCATTGGAAATACCAAAGTGAAAGTGCAAAAACATAGTCATGAACTTCAATATAGAATTTCTCTGATCAAGACCAAAAACATGATTTTATTTGGGTTGTAGCTGATATATAAACAAAAATAGTGCACTTTCTACCTGTTTTTCATACTAATTCAGCGAAGAAATTAGTTGAAGAGTCTGGAAAGAGAATTATCAAGCTACCTAAAAATTCTGAGTTAATAGTATCGAATACAGATGACATCCACATCTAGATCGAAATGGATATTCATGGAAGTATACGCATTAAGTTATATTTTATTGCATCATTCCATATACTGACAGATGATCAATATAAGAAAATAATTCTGGTGTAATGATCAACTAATGTTATGTAATTGTTATTTTGGAGGTGGCTGGGAGAATCATATTCTATTGATAGAATTTTCTTAAACTAGTAGTTACCAATCCAGTATTAAAATAGCAGTCTATCAAAGATTATAAGGAAAGAAATGTAGAATTCCAGCAAAACTAGCCCATAAATAATAGAGAAAATAAGATTAAATAGAGATAGATAGTTCAGGATCGTCAAAAAAAATGGTTAAGTTTAAAGTTTATGATTCTGTATTTTTTAATGTAAGACCAACAAAGAAATATCAAGATTAAGTCAAGAAGGGAAGCTAAATCCCATACACATGCCATTTGAGATAATTAAAAAAAAAAAAAAATTTCTTACCACATGCCATTTGAGATAATTAATTAAAAAAAAAAAAAAATTTCTTACAAATTAACATTGTCAAAAAATATGAAAAAATATGAATGATATATAAATTATTTTTTCAACAGGACTGGAAGGGAACTTCTTAAAAGGTCTAAAGTCGGACATTTGAGCAGTCATCCGACCTTTGAGACTGTGCGGATTGAGGAAAATGATGGAGCTCACGCAGAAGATGGAGAATAAGAAAAAAGTGAAGAAGACTAGCAAAGGCGGCAACACCGGAGGTTTCTACAAGAGCACCTTAACAACCACGATACTAAGAACCATGGCAGTGTCATTTCAGAAAGAGACGTCGAAAGGGTAGAATATTGAACCCTTCACAGAAGTAATTTCAAGCACATTTCATATGCATGAGTGTCGGATAAAAGAACAAAAGGATTGTGTTATAGCTGTGACGAGAGATATGCCCCAAGAAACCGCTGCGATAAGCACACCATTAAGATTCTTTTAGTTTACGAGGAGGATACAGAGAGTAAGGAATTAGGGGAGGAGGTAGTGGAGGAGGAGCATCTGTATTTGGATGTGGCGTAAGTGTCCCTCAATTCGGTAGTGGGATTTACTCCAAATCACACCATGAAGATTAGTGGGTGGATCGGGAAACAACCAAATGTGGTGTTGGTGGATAGTGGGCTCACGCATAACTTTATCTCAAATCAAATCGTAGAGAAGCGCGGGTAGGAGCTGGTGACTAAAAGGAGCTTCGGCGCCATGATGGGGAAAGAAAGAGTGGGAAAAAGTCAGGGAATTTGCAAAGCGTTGGTTCTGACATTACATGGCTTACAGATGGATGAGGATTTCCTTCCCTTAGATTTGGGTAGCACAAATGTGATTTTGGGGATGAAGTGGTTGCGAATGCTGGGGGAGATAAAAATGGATTTGAAGTATCTGGCGATGGAGTTCCAGGTGGAGGGTAGAAAGGTGATGCTGAGAGGATATGCTAGTTTATGCAAAACCATGGTCAAGTCAATACGGTGAGCATGATTGGGCTACTTGGTAGAGTTGCAGAGCATTGAGTAGATTTGAAATTTAGAGTTGCCAGAGTTTTCTGAAGAGTTCTAGTAGCTCATACAGCAGTTTACGGATGTCTTCCAATAGCTAAGTACGAGCACTTTATTACCTTGAACGAGGGTGTTTCACCCATCACCGTTAAACCATACAGTTATCCCTAGATTCAAAAGGACGAGATAGAGAAAGTAATAAGAGAGATGCTCGAGGTCGGGATTATCAAACCTAGTGTGTCATTTTTCTAGTCACGTCCTGTTTGTGAAAAAAGATGGTCGTTGGAGATTCTGCGTGGACTAACGGGCATTGAACAAGGAGACGGTGTTGGACAAGTTTCATATTCTTATAATTGATGAGTTACTGAATGAGCTTTATGGGGCTGTCATTTTCTCAAAAATTGATCTTAAGTCGGGATAACACCAAATAAAAATGAATCGAACGGATGTGTTCAAGACAACACTCAAGAAACATAAAGGGCGTTATGAGTTCTTAGTGATGTCGTTTGGTCTCACCAATGCCTCGACGATATATTAGTCGCTCATGAATAGGGTTTTTGAATCTTACCTCTGGAAATTTGTCATTGTCTTCTTTGATGACATTTTGATCTACAATCGTACAGAGACAGAGCTTGTGAGGCACCTAAGGACAGTCCAGAAAACATTGAGGGAGCACCGGTTGTACGTCAACTTGAAAAAATGTTCTTTTGCACAGTTACAGGTGGAGTACCTAGTACATGTAGTGACCAGAACGAGGGTAGGAGTGGATCAGTCCACGAGAGGCTTAAATACATACTTAAGGAAGAGAAATTAAAACAAATTTGGAGAGAAAGTGGAAAAAGAAATTTTTCAAATGTTGTGGGAGGATTCTATTAAGAAGAGGAACATAGGGTTTGTTTTGCTTATACATGTTTTTGTTGTTTGTTGTGTTTTCTTCTTTTGGTGTTGTTCCTAGTGATGTCTAGGGTTGTGGGAGAGTCGATCAATCTCTAGAAAAGTAGATCATCATTGTATCTTGCTTGTTTGCATTTATTTTTTGTAAAAGCAGCCCTTATTTGATTTGTTTACATTTATCTATTGTCGTTTCGCTGTTGTTGCTTGCTGATTTCGAGTCTGGACCGTGAGTCTGGAGCGTATCAAAAACAAACTCTATTTTTAAAGCCCTTGGTTGACTTAGGTGGTGAAATACCCTACTGCCTAAATTTCAGGTTCAAACAACTTATCAACATTTGTGTCTCCACGAACCTTTACCTTCTAGCACATTTATAGGAATGCTATCTACCATGTTGATTTGCATGCTACACTACGGAAAATAAAATTCAATATTATCTTCTCTAAATGATTCTTATCAATCCTTCTCCAAGGATTAACATTATACTCCTCTTCTTGTGTTTTCCTGAGGAAGGTCGCTAAAAGATGGGTTCCTATTTCAGATTTGTAATTCTAGTTATAAAAAATTATAAATACACCTTTTTGATTAAAAAAGGGTCATGGAAAACATACTTGAGAGCAGTAGTCGTCCATTTCTTCCTCCTTTCGCTGGCGCCGCTCATCCTACAAATAAATTATATGGATGTCATTAGCCAATAAATTGGTGGAAAACTCAAAATAAAAAGGAAATTAACCTCCTCTAGAGGAGAAAAAACCAAACATATTTAAATTAACGTGGTCTATAGAAATCAAGCATACTTCAGTTAATGTGTTATATTATAAGTTCAGAGTGATTTAAATTATTTAATAATTGTCCTCGCTTACAGATACATTTCTAGAATTGAAACAGAAGCACCACTTCTTGGTAGCTTTCCTCCAATTCCGAATAATGTCTATGCATTTCAATTTTAAGAAAATCATAATAACAATTACAATATTAAATCATCAACAAGTTTGCTAAATGTCTTTGCAATCAGAATAATTTATATATGATTTATATATTATGGCTAAAATTTTCTTACGAGTGGATACATGACGAATGGTAATGGCATTTGTTCAATATTAATCCAATGTTGACCTATTTCTACATTCCATAATCCGACTTGATCAAATACAACAAAAGAGATGGACAATGAATACATCATCTCAAAAATCAAAATCACAAAACCATCAACCTTCTCTCATGCTGACATATCTAAAGCATTAAGATTACCCAAATGGAGGCATGTTGAGTAGATTGCTATGGAAGAAATAGTCGCAAAAAAATGCACCTATGCTTGATACAATGAACATAAAATTGAAATGTGTAAACAAGGAGTTCAAATGGTAAACAAAAACAAAATTGAGGCGCACAAGATGCGATAAAAATTGACACATATGCTGGCAAATAAAAATTTCACTAGGAGATCTGCATCAATTAATATGATTCCAATATTAGTACTAAATCATTACTTATATAAAAAAATGCGTTAAATTAATTTTAGAAAACCTATAGTAGTATTATTTATTTAAAATCATAATTTTGATTACCAAAATTAGTATAATTATGTAATTAAATATAATCTTAATTTAAAAAAAGCAAATTAAGAATTTCAAAAATTAAAAGAAATTAAAAGATAAAAAAAATTTGTTGGAATTCAGATTGAAATAACTGTTAGTGATAAATAAAATAAATATAGACTTCTATTTGATCAAATAAATTATTTTTCTTTAGTGGCTCTTTCAATTTATTCAGATTGTAAACTATTAGTGATAAAAAAAATAATTTCATCATCCAATTGTCTATTCCAACGTTGGTTAATTTCAAGTCCCGGGCGTGTTGTGACACACAAAGCAAAAATGTCCAAGTATGTTCCGGTTCCAATACTAAACATGCAAGAAATAGTACTAATATAGCATTTAGATTGATTGAAATATCTAACACAATCTCGCTCAGTAATTCTTCCTACTACTTCCACAACTTCAATCAAACAAACCAATTGGATCGTACACATTAATCATCTAATAAATAACTAACCTTCTACCACTACATTCGACTTAGAACTTTTCCAGAGTTAGTTGCTTCACCACCGGCCAAAGCAATTTTATGCATAAGGCTTCAAATTTGTTTGGTAAGAACAGTCTTCTTTGATCAAAACCTCAAATTAAATCCAATATTAAGAAATATTGACGACCATAAAGCATCTTTGGTCATGTATATAGTACTTTTGAATCAAATTATTTAAATTCATTCTTTTTTTACAAAATATGACTGATGAAGGCAACAGTTCTATACAGTCTAACATATAAAATCAAAACTAAAAAATAAACTAGCTAGTGTTAATAGCTACAATTGTTCGAAATATTCATTATACACAGTGTGTTTCCAACATAATTAGGTAAAAATTTCTCAGAAAAACTAACTTGAGTTGGTTTTAGAGAACCAGATGATTGAAAACCACGTCTCAATTTAATTCCACTCCCTTGTCCTAGACTAAACCCAGATGCTTCAAAGTTCAACCAAGCCTCCCATGTATCATCCTCCCCAGTGAAAAGAGCATGCAAGCCCTGATTAAAAACTGAGGTTAGTCAGTTCAATCAAATCTTATTTAGACTCATAATTAAAAATAATACCTGTGTCACTCCTTGCAAATCAACACGGGCCGCAAATTGGCCTGAAGGCTGAAATGTCCGCCTATGCCAAACCTAAATGAATGAATAAGCATAAATTAGACTGGAGTTTTAATACCCATCGTATATAGATGAACAAGAGAAAAACAACCGCATAATTTTTTTAACAGATTTATGCTAAGATGTATCAATAATCAACAGCATCTATGATAAATAGAGTCGTGGAATAAACCTTTGGTCTACTGAAAGCCTTTATACATGAAATAACGATGTTATAATACGAGTAATCTGAATCAACGTAGTATTTTAACACAGAATATAGCCATGTTTTTAGTAGGGAACGTTCAAAAGACGCTGCCTAAAAGCTAATAACCTTCGAAGAAGATTTTTTAAAGAAAAATCGTTTTATATAGCATAGCTAAAATCAGCAATTAGAAAACTTTGATAACTTCAAAAGTTTTTTTTTAATTTGAAAAAAAATGGGCAAAATAGAAGTAGTGCATAACACAATTTTAAGAGGAATAAAAGGTGAAGGACCAATAAACCAACACAAATAGTTAGAATAATCCTAGTGATTAACATGATGATCGGCTATTGTTCACTATAACTCTACCGCTTCAGTAAAAAATAATAAAACGAAACCTAGTACTCTTTAAAATTATTCATCAATTTTCTTTGAAGACAATTAGTTTATATAAAGCAAGATGATAGGAAGATATAATATGATGGTACAAATTTGGACAAATAGATTGTTCAGGAAAATATCTCTAATTCCTACCAAAATGGCACTCCATAACCATCTTCTTAAGGCTAACCAAAAACAACAGGAAAGATCGGTACACTTTCCATGCAGTAATGCACTGAGAAGCCATCTAAGATCAATTATCATTTGGTCAAAGATAACTACATCGAATTGTGTGTGAGGAAGCAAAGACTTGGAAATGGTTAGAATTGTGTTCCAAAAAAGAGCTTTACTGAAATAAATTTCAGAGATATTTATTTAATTAGTTGAATTCAGTTCATGCCAACACAGCTTTTTCTACTGATTGGGCTGAAGTTCTAATTTACCCATCCTCCCATATCTTATTATTATTTTATTATTAACATGAGTAAAAGAAAATTTATAATCATTCCCCCATTGACTACATAAGATTCATGTACTATATATAAAAAGCAAAACTAAAAACGACTAGCCCTCATAGATAGAACTCATTTCTAACCTTTATGAAGGTGAGTTCAAAAAAGAAATTCCAAATAAACAGTCGAATTTAGCACCCTAACTAAAATCCAGCCATCTCACACTTAATCATAATGAACGAGCTGAATAGTGAATGAACAAGAAAATAATCAGGCTCTAGGAACTTGATAGCATTCTATTGAAATGAATTCAACAGCTAACAGTTATTCTGAACCAAGCATCTACAAGTAGAAAATAAAATATTGAATGCTCAATAAAAAAGCTGTTGAAGTACTAAAAAAAATTTTTTCCCCCCCCCACCCCCCCCCCCCCCCACACACTAGTCCAAACCAGACTCTCTCAAGGGTTTGTTCCCAAACTTGATAGCATTCTATTGAAACGAATTCAACAGCTAACAGTTATTCTGAACCAAGCATCTACAAGTAGAAAATAAAATATTGAATGCTCAATAAAAAAGCTGTTGAAGTACTAAAAAGAAAAATTAACTGTCTCCTAAATTCTTCTTCAGCCCAAGCCCCCCACTAATCCAAACCAGACTCTCTCAAGGCTTCGTTCCCACTGTATTATTTCGTTATAGTCATAAACAGATAGTTTTAATGCAACGAGATTAGCAATATTGAAGAAGAAAGTTTATGCAGTTTCAAATAAATGCATGCGCTAAAGTGTTATGAAATGCTTCCTATGCAAATTTGAACTTTCCTTGCATGCAAAAGTAAAGAGGAACCAAACAATAAAGAGTGCTGAAGAGAAATCAAACCATCAAGATCTAAATTACGAACAATTTTTTGCCCATGAGACAACATGAAGAAAAGGTTTCCGCCTACCTGACACCGATAAGCAAACTCCAGCTGCTCTGCAAGGTCTTCACGTACAGGAAACCAATCTAAACCCCCTTTTCGAGCAAACCAATGGCCTCTCAAAACTCGACGATTTTCCCCATTCCAATATACTGGGAAACTGTGCCGCCTAAATAAATCAACCTAGAGAATATAGAGAAAGATAAGGCAACAAACAGTGAAAAGAGAAATAGAAAGATTAAAAAAAGTTAGTAAACGAATCCTGTGACAACACAATTTCATCCACTCAACATCTCTTAGATTATACAAAAGGATCCAAGAGAAGGAAACTAACAAATTCTATAAATATTTCACAATGGCGAATAGCGCACCAAATCTCAAAGGTCCACATAGAATAATAGCACATAGTGCATATCCCAAATGCCATTTTAAAAATACATATAAGAAAAGCTTTAAATTGAAAGATAAAAAAAAATAAAAAGTGATGTTTAAATTCAAATACTTAGCACCTCAATCACTTGATCTTTCATCTATGATGCATCTCTATCATGAATGTAATCATTAACATCTTCAAAATATACGTATAATCAATGCTAATCAAAAGTATTGTGTCATTAACTACATTATCATAGCTTATTGACTACTTATACGTAGTGCTATCTGATAATGTTTCCATTAGAAAGACATGATCACAAAAAACTTTACATACATATCGAAGTTATAAAAAATTCTAATAGCCTTGTCAATTTTTTTTAGGTTTATTTGATATGATTATAAGGAAGTTTTCTACTTCATAAAATTGGTTTAATTTGTTGATAGCATAATTTACTTGAATCACTCGAATAAAGAAGCAATAATGACCTTTTCTGGAATGAATTGTTGTGATTACTGCATGTTGGAGGCCACAAAATACTGAGGAAAAAGGCCATTCATATTCTAAATATATAGATGCTGCAATTCTAGCCTCATCCTTCTATTACAAGAAGACAAATCTCCATTTCTGAAGCATAGTACCATTATAATGTGAGTTTACAAATTTGTTGTAGCAATCTTTGAAGCGGAAGTATGCCAATCATAACTCATGCAATTTCATCATCCCAACTATGACAAAATAAAGCGCTAATGTGTATGCATGTATGTAGATGCATATGCATGTATTTAGATACATATATGTATATATGTATGTAAATATATATGTATGTGTCTGACGCAGAGCTCATGGGGGGCCGACCGGGCGCAGGTCCAGCCAAGCTAGACCGGCCAGTCCCCTTGGAGGGGGGACCCACCGCCCCTCCTACTTCTTTTCCTTTCCTTGTCCTTTCCTCTTCCTTCTCTCCTTGTCTTTCCTTTTTCTTTTTTCCTTTCTTGTCTCCCTAAACATTTCCTAAAACCAAAATCTGAGTTTACTCTCCTTCTAATTTTAAAACACCTGCATTAAATCTGAAATCTGATTTTTCTTCCTTCCCTACTTTGAAAGTCTTGCCTAAATTCTGAAATCTGATATTATTCATTTCCTA